TTAATTTCGTCTTCACCTAACCCTTCTCTTGTTAGTCCCTCTTCTTCCTTCCCTTTCCTCAAGTCTCCCTTCCCCTCCCACTTCTCCAATCTCACATACATACCTCTATCCGTTCCCCTTTTTATTCTTTACTATTTTTACAAAAAAAAATTGATATTCACTTAAATGAAAGTGAGACTAGATCGTCCAGTTTCTTTGAGAATTAAAGTGAATCTAGATTCTTAATTTTATAAATAAGTTATCATTTAATTAGAGTAATTTTATTACAAAATCGTTTAATAAATTTATTTTTCCAAACACATACTAAAATACAAATAAATGGTTTCATCTCATCGAATAAATAAAGGATTAATAATATATTACATTGGGAATTTCTTGAACAGGCGAGTGTTGCAACTAGCACTACAAAAAGAACTACGGTGAAAAGCGTAGCTCCAATTGATGAGGGCAACTTGAACAAACCAAGCGCGAAGCTACTTGTGAGTAAATCTGGGACGGATAAATCATCCGCTTCCAGTGTACAATGCAAAAGAAATCTAAGAAGCCGTTTGTCTGATGAGGTTAACGGGGGTCCTATGGCTTTTACCGCTGATTATCATCGACCAGTGCACCACCCACCTAGGAATAACAAATGAACTCATAAAAGTTTTTCTCCTCTCAATAGAAGATATATATGTAGGTGTTTTTTTGTTGTTTGTTTATCTTATGCTTTAGTTTTGCTTTCCTATATGTTGTGTCACTGAAACGAGTGTCTGGGAAGTTCATATATAGGTTATATAAGTGTTTCTTGTCATCAATCTACTGTAAAATTAACATATCAAAAGAGTGAAGTCAAAGAATATTTACAAATAAATAAGTTGGTGCCTCACCCTTGTTCTCTTGTTGTCGTTGTTAGTTTGGCCCCAGAATTTTGTTAGAGCAGAAGCATGTTTTATTAATTTTTGTAATTAATCGTATTTGAAATGTATATGTTTAAAAATATTTAATGATAACGACTAATGTGAGTTAATATGTCATCTAACTCACTCATGAATTAACAAAATAACTTGTTATAACTTGTTTTTAAAATTATCATATTTATATTATAATCTTTTAACTATTTTATAAGTTAAAAATATTAATTATTAAAAACACTTTCACTTAATATTACTTTACATTATTTGTGAACAAGAATTTTTAAGTAGTAAATATTATATTCTATAAAATAAAATTAAATAAATAAGTAAATTATAAAGCTTAAGAATTTATAAAAAGCTAAAAAAAATTATAGAATATTAAATTAAAAATAATTGGTTAATATAAAAAAAATTATCTGAAATGGTAAAAGTTAGAATTAACTCCTAAAAGTATTATAGTTTAAAAATCATCTAAAAATGTTATCGTCAAGAAATAATACTAAAAAATTATATATAGAGGTTAATATAAAAAGCTTAAAATTTAATTAAATATTAAATTAAAAATAAATGCTTGATCTGTAAAATAAAAATTAATTAAAATGATAAAAATTAAAACTAATTCTACAGCACTCTCGTTTGAAAAAATTATAAGCACTCTTTTATTCATAAATTTTATGTAAAAATTGATTAAATTCGTGTAATTCACGAGAAAATGACTGGTTAAGAACACATATATCACATCGAGAATTAATTACTATTTTAAATTTGAAAAAAACTGAAAAGTTGTCGAAATAGTAGCTTAAGAAGATGACGTTAAATAAAATTCAAAAGAGATATAAGATCAGAGAAAGTGTCCGAAGAAGGCAAATGGAAAATTTTCAACATTTGGTGAAAGTGTTGACAATTGAACGAATAACAGTTATGTCTCCTATTGTTTTTTAATAATCATTCTTTAGAAGCATTTTGATTATAATCAATTACCATTTAATGATCCGCGTGCTATCATCTTCATTCTAAATACGTTATTGTGAGTTGTTCTCTTTATTAATTACTTTTTTAATTTTTTGTGTATGTTTGATTTCACATTTTCTGATTATCAATTTATATTTATTTACATGTTATTAGTTATAATTTCTACACTAAATTCATATTTATTGACTTTTAAAGTAAATTTAAATACTCATTCAGTTCATGAACAAGCACAACCACTACCAAACAAACACACTTAGCCACAGCATGACCCACAATTTCGTATAAATTATCATTAAACAACCATAAACTAAGGACATAAACCCAGGAATTATGTGATTCTATATTTTTCCTTAAAAAAAATAGAATTAAAAATAAGTAAAAAAAGAAAATTAGAGCATGTTTATTTTCTCTTTTTAAATAGAATTTTTAGTTTTTAAAATAAAAAAAATAAAAAAACTTGCTTATTAATGTAAGTTTTAAAAACTATTTTTAAAAATCAATTTTTATTTTCAGTTTTTAAAACTGAAAAATAGAATTGCTATTTAGGTATTTTTGTTTTTATTTTTCTGTTTTTCTTTCTAAAACTAACAAAAGTCTAACTAAAAACAGTTTTAAAAACTAAATTATCAAAAAAATTTATTTTATTTTATTTCCCTAAAAACAGTTTTACAAAATTGTTTTAAAATATAATTTTTAAAAATTAAAAATTAAAACTAAATCAAAAAAACCTTAGAGTGAGCCATGTTCCTCACACATGTGACTTGTAACACTGCCAATGACCGGTTGACCCCATTCGCCCGTGGAAGCGGAAATTGCGGTACAACGAGAGATTCACGGACGTGGTTTTTTCGGGTGACCCTTCGCCTTTATATTCTTTTGAGAATGCAATTCTTGTATGCTATTAGAACTCTTTTGTGTAAATACAATAGCAGTTAATTTAATTTAAAATATTTAAAATGCAAAATTATTGTACTATACTAAGATAATATGTTTTTTAAATCAAGGAACCAAATTGGATTTTTTTTCTTTTTGATGGAAATGGTAGTTAGTTGTTATTAATTCTGACATGAACTTCTATTCGAGCTTAATTAAATTTAGGTACCATTTTGTTTGCATAAAAAATAATATTCTTTATCTTTGTTTATTTCTCCTCTGATCTTTTTTCATAATTATATCATTTTTTTATAAACAAAATTTAGATAGACAAAAATTGACTTGCATCAGCAAGAATCAAACACAACCTGTTTTTTTGAGCCTTTATTTTTTAACATTGAATAAGGTGCCTTCCTTAAATATTAAGTTATTATTGGTGGGAATGAAAGTTAAAATTCCAAAGTCAAAGACAAAGGAGAAAGAGGATAACAAAGCTAAAATGAAAAGTTATATAACTAGACTTTCGAGGTCCGATCCCAAATTCAAGTGGGTTTGTGGACTGAATTACGTATCACTTGAGCTAAATCTTTTAATTAAGCTACAAATCATTCTTTATACATGACAAGCAACTAGTAAAACAAATGTTATTTTTATATATTGTGTATTTTGGTATAGAATGTTAGCTTTTTAAGATTATGAATTTTGTGCAAGTATAATAATATGTCACGTGAATAATCAATCATGCAAAAGAAGTCAAACGTGGGGGTATAGGCCCACTCCCACCCGTGACTGGTGACTCTTTACCTATATTCTATATTACCTATTAATATTTATATTTTTACACTCATTTATCCTAATATTTATTTTTTATTTTTTTTCTATTTATCTCTTTCTCTTTTTTCTCAATCCGTTTAAAACAATGCCCCACACCCAATATGATATATATGATGTAATGATGAATGTCTTGCCCCAAAGCTTCAACTTGCCTCCACTCCACCACTCATCAATTGAGTGTTCACACTTCACACAGGTCCAATCGGACCATCACAAAAAAGTCTATTGAGAATGTTTTTTTCTTTTTTAATTATAAGACTGTCATATTATTTTAATTTATTTTTTGTTTTCAAAGATTTTTATTAAATTATTAAACAACCTAAAACAAAATAAAAATAAAGTGATATTTTATAGTTAAAAGTAAAAATGCTTTTTCAAACTAAATGACTCTTTAATATTTTAGCTCCCCTTAAAAAATGAAAAAAATTGTAGGAATTTTTTTACACTAATTAAAAATATTAAAATCCCTCTTCACCTTCCGTCTTTCAACCTAATCCTATCCGAATTATATCATTTCTGCCTTTCACAAGCAGAATTTTCACATCAACAAAATATTAAGATTTCCTTTTGTTTATTTGTTTCTTTGATGTTGTCGTTTAGTACATATTTACTAGGAATCCTAAGTAGCGTAGCTTCATTCTCCATGTTTATCCATTTGTATCCATGGCACTACTAAGTCTCTTTCTCTTTCAAATTACTTATTTTATAAAATGATACTGATGGTGAGCTTTAGGCTTTTGTTACGCACCTAGTTTTCAATAGTTTTCATTTGATTAACACATTCATTCACGAACACTGAATTTAGCTACCTAGTGGCATACTACACGCAAAAAGAAAACAAAAAAGATTACCCGATTTGATTAAGCAAATGATCGCATTAATTGTCAATATCAAAAGAGTAATTTTAAAATTATATTAATTAGATCAAGATTTTTGTTATCCTAATGAATTGTTTATATATATTTATTTTTTTAAATTTATTAACTTCAATTCTTAGATCTGAGTTTAACTATTTAAAAAAGATAGTTTTTTATTGCAAAGGCATTCATTGCATTAAAAATTATAAATATATTTTTACTCTTATTAATTTTAAATTCAAATTTAAGAACTGCGATTAATATTTTTCTTTTTTATAAATAAATTTGATAATTCTTACCTTTTTGATACAGTTTGAATTGTTTATCATATATAATTACATTTTCTAATTCCCGTAAATTAAATACTTTCGCTTAAACAGATTTAATTAATTATACTATTATTATCTTAGAAACTTAAATGAAATACTTAATACGATTAAAATATAAAATATTTATAATATATTAGCAAAAAAAATATTTATAATATGGGGCCAGTGAGCCAAGGGAAGTAACTGGGAGTCAATGTTACCTCCTTAAAAATCTTCTGAATGTGCAGTGCGGTTACTTCAGGGCCCCTTCACGAGTCTTATTCTCTCCTACTACTATCCTCATCTTCTGGTATTTGGTAACAATCTTTTTTTTTTCTAGTGTGTGTGAAAAATTGTAATGATTTAATCATTGATCTACTCCATTGTATGTTTTCCGTATATGATGATAAAATCACTGGATTGACAGAAAGACACACACAAAATGCTATAAATAGTTGTCTAATTTAAGGTGTCAATCCCCTCCATTTAATGCTAATTTCGTCTTCACTTCTCCAAAACAACAGAGCTAAGGCGAATACTCAACAACAATTCATGGAAGCTCCAATCCAGTATTCAGGCAAGCTCACCATTAGGGTGGTTCTCACTTGCATCATGGCAGCCACTGGTGGTTTGATTTTTGGTTATGATCATGGTGTTTCAGGTAAATCCAATCTTTATCTTTGTTTAAAAATTGTAGCTTTGATGCTAGTGCCTTTTTGAATTCCCCGTTTTGGGCCTGTTTGAATCTGAAAATGTGATTTCATTTCTGCGTTCTTAATACATTGTTATCTGTTTGGTGATATTTGTGATGGGGGACGGTTGAGGGGTTTGGTGTTAAGAAGACTTACCTTAATTTTGATGATAGGATTAACTTTGGTTTTCTGAGTTAATCTTGAAATCCATACAGCTATACTGGCATGGTTTCTGATGCATATGTTCTGATTGATGAAACTTCTGACATGGGATTTTTGTTGTGTGAATTCATTTCATAGGTGGAGTGACTTCAATGGATTCGTTCTTGAAGAAATTCTTTCCATCTGTTTATGAAAAGGAGTCTAACATGAAGCCTTCTTCCGACCAGTACTGCAAATTCAACAGTCAGATATTGACACTGTTCACATCTTCCCTATATCTAAGTGCTCTTGTTGCGGGTCTTGGTGCATCCAGCATAACCCGAATGCTGGGTAGGCGTGCCACTATGATTATGGGTGGAATATTCTTTGTCACAGGTGCATTATTCAATGGATTAGCCTCAGGAATCTGGATGCTCATTGTTGGGAGATTGTTGCTTGGTTTTGGCATTGGTTGTGCCAATCAGGTAGTTATATTTTTCTTTAGGCATGCTTGATTCTCCTTAACTAAGGTCTCAAGTTCGAACCTTGTGAATGGAAAATGATATTGCTAGAAGAGCTAGCCTCACTATGGTGTGAATGTTGAATGTTCTCTCGAACAAAATTAACTTCTGTGGTGTAGACAAAAAAAATAAAAATTGACCACTGCTATGATTTTAGTTTTGTGCTAAGAAATAGTACTCTTTTCATTTTCAGTCAGTTCCAATCTATGTATCAGAGATGGCACCTTACAAATACCGTGGAGCTCTAAACGTGTGCTTCCAATTGTCAATCACTATAGGCATCTTTGTGGCCAATCTCTTCAACTACTACTTTTCCAAGATAATGAATGGTCAGGGATGGCGTTTAAGCTTGGGACTTGGTGCAGTTCCTGCTGTTATTTTTGTGGTAGGCTCATTTTGTCTTCCTGACTCACCAAACTCTCTTGTTGCACGTGGATGCCTTGATGATGCCAAAATGGAGCTTATTAAAATTCGCGGCACAACTGAAGTTGATGCCGAGTTCAAAGATATAATTGCTGCCAGTGAAGCCTCAGAAAATGTGAAACACCCTTGGAGAACCTTGATGGAGAGAAAGTATAGGCCACAGCTTGTTTTTGCCATATGCATACCCTTCTTTCAGCAATTCACTGGCTTGAATGTGATCACATTCTACGCTCCAATTTTGTTCAGAACAATTGGTTTTGGAAGCACGGCTTCCCTCATGTCTGCAGTGATAATTGGCAGCTTTAAACCCGTTTCAACCTTGGTTTCAATGTTTCTTGTAGATAAATTTGGAAGGCGCACCCTTTTCCTTGAGGGTGGTGCTCAAATGTTGATTTGCCAGGTACATGCTTCTCACTCACCCCACATAAAACTTTCATTTCATTGGTTTGGTTAGTTTCTAATTACCATGTTTGGGCCACAGATTATCATGACCATTGCTATTGCTGTTGCATTTGGCACAAGTGGGAACCCTGGAACACTGCCTAAATGGTATGCAATTGTGGTTGTGGGTATCATCTGTGTATATGTTTCGGGTTATGCATGGTCTTGGGGTCCTCTAGGGTGGTTGGTACCAAGTGAAATTTTTCCTCTTGAGATTAGATCTGCTGCTCAGAGTATCACAGTTGGTGTCAATATGATTAGCACTTTCTTCATTGCTCAATTCTTCACCTCAATGCTCTGTCATTTGAAATTTGGTTTGTTCATCTTCTTTGGGTGCTTTGTGGTAATCATGACCCTATTCATCTACAAGTTATTGCCAGAGACAAAGGGTATCCCGCTTGAGGAAATGAGTATGGTTTGGCAGAAACACCCTTTCTGGGGCAAATTTTTGGACTCAGACAACAGGATCCAAAATGACAAGATTTACTCCAATTGTTGATTTTTAGTTTTAGTCTTTTATTTACGTAAGTATAGTTTAACTTAAAAAAATTGTTTGGCCAAACTTTTTTATGATTTAATATACAAAATATTTAAGTTAGAATCTTCATGTGTTCTTATACTATAAAGGACATATAGCAATTGATTATCAACTTTAATTAGATGTAGAATTATACTCAGTTACATGCCGTAGCAAGTTATATTTACTGTAGTTTTTTTTAATGTGAAAGTAATCGTTCATATTCGAATTCTATCTACACTTTATTATGCACCGCATATCAAATAGTAATATTAGAATTACCAAAGACAAAGCAACCTAAAGAATATAAAGCATAAGCTTTTATATAAATTTTTAATATATATATATATATATATATATCATTCCATCACTCTCTTTTTTAATAGTGATAGTTTTTTAGGAATAAAATATATTTAGAGTTGAGTTTTAGGCAAAGAAGGCAGAAATAATAAATATAAATTAAGAGTTTAATGGCTATGAAAATAAATAAAAAATTAATATATTAAGTTTAAATTAATCTATTATATTATTTTATTTAAAAAATTATGAAAATAGAGAATTTTTAATTATTAGAAATAAATTTGTCCCCCCTTCTTTCCCTCTAACATAATGTTTGGTTGAAAGAATCTAGAGTTTAAAGAAATGGAAAACTCTATAACTTCATATTAGTACTCTTCTTTATCTTTATTGACTTTATCATTTTGTTATTAGTTAGTTATTAAAAAAATTTATATATTAGTTTTATTAGAGTTAGTTTTGATAGTTATACATTGTTTTGATCTGAAATATATCTATCCTTTGCGATATAATTTTTTAAATGAGTTTTATGAAATAATTATTTTCTCCCACATCTCTTACACATTTAATATGGCCACAACAGTTAGAATTTTATTAGATCATTCACTGATATTTTTTTATTAAGCCTTTAATTATGTATTTTAACGCTTTTAATATGATTTTGGAATTATTTGGATATGTTCTAGCTGGTCCAAAAATATTAATTATGTGATTAGTTATTTAAATAGGATTAGTTAATACAAAAATAATAAAATAATTAAATAAAACAAAAGTAGGCTAAATATGATTTGAAATAATTAAAATAAAACTTAAAAGAATATTATAAAATTTTATAGAATGGTTTTAGAATGGAAAACAAATATTTAGGAGGCTATATTAACTAGTAAAAATTTGGAATTTAATGATATAATTTAATTGCATAAAATAATAAGAAAATTAATAAGAACTTAATTTGTAAAATTCTGGAAATTATGCAAAATAATTAAAAAAATAGATCAAATAAATTTTAGAAAATATCTAGAAAGATTTAGACAACTAAAGTATTATTAATTAGTGGTTCAAATTTATTAAAAATTGTAAAAGTACGAGTAAAAATTGTTAAATTAAGAGTGAAATTTACATAATTTTAGTAATTTATTTATAAATGTTAACTAACAAAAAAATATATTTAAAGAAGTATTACTAATATTTTTCTTCATGATATTATTATTATAATTATGACATTATGTTTAAATTCAAATTAAATATTATTTTATCTTAAATTATAATAAATATTATTTAAATAATAATTAAATAATGACATGAAAAATGCTTATGCCATGCATTGCATGGGCTACAATATTAATTATTTTTATTTTTAACATTGTGACCAAGATTTTTTATGGTGGTTATGTGATCCTTAATTAAACATCTTTCGTATGAACAAAACTTTGTTGTCTATATCAATCATGCATGAGCTGTATTTCCAATAAAAAACAACTTTTTTTATTAGATATCATAGAAATTAAAATACATTCTCCGTTAATATAAATACACACATGGATATACATATTTATTAACTACACAACGTCCCTATAAATATTTGAAAGCTACTCAATATGCGAGGCCTTCTATCATTCTCTCTAATCTTATAATACTTAATGTTAAAATACTAAAACTAAAGATTAAAAAAGAATAAGACACCAAAACTACACAACATGAGCAATTCGGAGTCTAACAGTAATTTTGTTTTCCTGATCGACCATCCAGTAACATTTGTACACAGAACCACTCTTCTTAGTATGATTAATTAGACCGCAGGATGTGGAGGAGGAAGTAGCCATTTGGAGCCTTCAATCATGGCAAGAGATATAAATGGTTTGACCTGCTCAGCAGTTAGTTGTTTTGTGAAACTGGCTCGACCTTTGGGATCAGCACCAGGTCCCTTGTTCTGATACTCTCCAAATTGTGCAGTTCTGTAAATAATTTCAGATATTAATTACTTTTTGTTAATGTAATAGTATATTATTTTCTTTATTATGATAAAATATACAACAATGTTAGTAGTTGGAATAAGATTTGAGTCATTGAGTGAAATGGTCAATATTATAGAAATCACCTTTGGGGGGTGCATGGTAAATCTTACTAGTATTAAGGAGAATGCAATGCAAAGTAATTTATTCACATTCACATAATACTTATGAGTTACTTGTTCAATTCATAAATATAAATGAAGAGCTGTAAAAGAATAATTTGTGATGGAGAGTTGAATTAGCAAGTTACTTGGCATATTCAGGGTGTCTATTGTCTCCCCATCCTTCTGGAATAATAACACTGCTCATGCTGGTATAAGCAAAGATAACTTTTGGATGAGACATCCATGCTCTGCCCAAGTAAGTGCCAGTTCCAGTTCCAGTAATGTCACAATGGACAAAAGAGTAGACATAGTCCTCTTCCTCACTTTTTCTTGCCTGTGCTACTATTACTGTCATCCCGCTATCACCAAGTACTCTTAATTCAGTGTTCTACATCATAAAATAAACACCCAATGTTTAATAAAATCGCAATCTTAATTTTGTATACAATAATTAATGGAATGACTTTGCATCTCAAAAGATACTAATGTTTCATTTAATGAAATTGTGTTTACCAAATATAGTGATTTCCCACTGCCAAAAATAAAATCCACAGTTCCTTGAATTAAGCAATCTTTGAAAAAATGCTTATTCCGATCATCACAAACAGTGTCTTGGAATCCCAACAACTTGCAATTATAAAACGTTGCTTTGTCTCCAGAAATTCTCAACGCAACAGCTTGAGCTCCTGGTCGTTTTCCATCAGGCCTTGGAGCAGAATTCTGTACAATCAAATTCATGAAAAAAGAAAAAGAACCAAAAATGATCATAAAAATCAAACTTTATCTTGCTTATATTTCAATAGCGGGGAAAGGTTTAAGAAATATAGTATACAAACCGAGATCATGATATTAGCTGCAACAAAATAATCTGATTCAACAATCAATGTAGCACTATCAACTGTGCCATATTTTTGTGCAGTTCCCCCAAAGGTTAAGTTTGGCATGTGCTCTGGTACCCCATATAAGGTGACAAAAGGCTTTGTCCTCTCAATTTTAATTTTTTCATTATAATTTCCAGCTCCAATGTACACAATCACACGCTTGGTGTTTTCATTAGGTATGCTGTTAATGGCATCGGTAATGGTCTTGAAATCCCCACTACCATCTTGCATTACCTTCACAACCTTGCTACCTTCTTCTGCAGTCAACAAAGCAGGGTCTAGGGTGGCTTTTCTTTCTTTTAAAGGCTTCACATTGTTAGTGAACCATGTGTTTAGTTGGGCCTTTTCAGCTGGAATTGGCACTGTGTCATCAGATAAAACAACATGGGATGTAAAAAATGCTATTGCACAAGCAACCTCAATGGTAAAGATTATAGTTTTTGAAGCCATATTTCAATGTTTTAATATTTTTTGAAAGAACTTCTTGGGTGTATTTATAAAAACTATTGGAATAGGTTCCGACATTTATGAGTCTTTATTTAGAGAACGAGTAATTTGATTCACCCACTTTTTGTTAGAAAGCTCAAAATAAACATGAGGTTAATGGCTCAAAACTTCATTAGTTGCAAAACAAGATTAAATTTTGATGAATTTTTTTTTTACTTTCTAATTATATGAATGTGTAAGATAAAAGTATAAAGAATTATTTACTAAAAATAGTTGAACACGATAAATTAAGTCAATAGATTGATTTAACAATGACTGCATAATTTGGATTTTCATTAAGTTAATCTATGAATTCTTCATCTAAAACATGTCATCATACCATAATCTCCTAAATAGTAGTGTTGGATATGTGAAATATTTTATTTTCACCCAAAATTTTGAAAATTTGTTGATTTTCTTGTCTATATTTTTGAGTTTGCTTTTTAACTCAAATATTCCATTTTTAAATTTATGTGAAATGTTAAAAGTTTTAAATTATTTAAGGTAAAATGTGCTACAATTGTATAAAAGAAAAATATAACTTACTTTAAGAAATTGAATTTAAAAATGAAAAGAATAGATCTACATAATTATTTGAAACGTATAAGAATTTTTATTTTTTTTAAGGGAATGTACACAAAGAAGGGAATGACATAAAATTATGTTTATTAACTCGATTTAGTTTCTGATATTATGTTTAAATTAAACAACGTTAAATGTGTAAGTGACTAAATCGAAAATAAATATACTTTTAGAGAGTGATTTACAAATTTTTTAATATAAAAACTAATTTACAAATATGAATTGATATAAGGATAAAAATATTTAAATTTTTTAGAAATTATTATAAGACACTAACGAGAAATGTTGATTTACACCCATAGCTAAGATAATGCTAGGATCACTTTACTCTCCTAACCCTCTTCTACTTGATAAAATATCTTTCTTCCTTGCTAACTTTGTCTTCAAGTTCGTAGTCGTTCCTTATGTAGGTGATTGGATCGTCTTATGTCATCTTATCCAAAAGTTTCTTCTATAGCATTAATTTTTTTTCTTTTCTCCCAAGTAAATCTTATCGCCTCTAGTTAGGTTCAATATAAAAAATTAACAAATAAAAATTCACAGGAGAAGTAAAGTTTTGATGAATAATAACTGGGTTGTGTTTCATTACGCAACGTATGTGTACTCTATAGATTATGAAAGTTGTCGTTTAAAATACCAAAATTGCAAGAAATCATTCTATAAGATTTAAGAGAGTGTACCTTAGTTAATAAAGATGAGAGTTGCTTCAAATGAAGTTGGACCTTTGCAAGGCAATTAATGACAACTCATTTTCTAACTCAATTTCAATTAATGATGGCATAGAAAAATCCTTGGTGATGAAAATGATTAGTTAAAGTGTAATTAGGGCAAAGACTACATTAAGAATATATATATATATATAAAAGAATTAATTTACAAATTTTGTATATCTAATGATCAATTTACATATGTGAGTTAAGCATAGGAATAAAATATTATTTAAATCAAGTTTATTTAACATTATTTAGTTTAAACGTAATGATTGAAACTAACTAAAAATCAATATATATATATATATATATATATATATATATATATATATATATAAAAGAATTAATTTACAAATTTTGTATATCTAATGATCAATTTACATATGTGAGTTAAGCATAGGAATAAAATATTATTTAAATCAAGTTTATTTAACATTATTTAGTTTAAACGTAATGATTGAAACTAACTAAAAATCAATATATATATATATATATATATATATATATATAAAGACTAATTTATAATATTTTTTATATATAAGAATTAACTTATAAATATAAGTTAAATATAAGGATAAAAATATTATTTAAATATAAAATTATGATACCATTTTATGCCTATTAAAATTAAAATTGAACAAAGATTGCATTTTATTATTTAAAATGTGGCTGGCATGATTGCAATTATATTTTTTGTGGAGTTTACATTGAATAAATGATACAAAATAATCATAATTATTATAAAATTTAAATATTTTTGAATGTGTCAATCCGTAACTAAATGATAGTGTTAAAAACATTTTACACTTGAAAGTTACTTCTAAGTATCACTTTCAATTACTCTAGTTAAGAACATGCTTCGTTCCTGCTCATGAATTATCTCTAGGCTTGCTGGTATGTGATAGAATTATTTGGTAAATTTTATGGTAATTTTAAATTTAGAAGGATTTTAATATTTTTTATGTCATTAAAAATAATTTAATTCATGTATTTTTATTAATCAATTTGTTATTTAATGTCACTACTAGAAAAATACTATTTACAGATAGATTTGTGATTTTTTTTTTATTTTTGAAAAAATCTATCTGTAATATCCATCTATAGTTTGCTCGCCATTTGATGCGAAACTGTATAGACATGAATTACAGACAAATTTTTTTGTCTGTAATTTGAAAATTGAAAGGAAATTGGGAGCGAGAGTTATAGACGAATTTTTTTTTCTATAAATGAACTTGACGAATTTACAGACGGAAAAATTTGTCTATAAATGGATCTTTAAAACGCACTGTTTCATTAAACCATTTATAGACAGATTTTTCTGTCTGTAATGTCTGAAATCTATAAAACCGCGCCTCCACTTCCATTTCCTCATTTTTCATAAATCTCTCTTTCTCTCTCGCCTCTCTCTGTCTCTCTCTAGGAGCTCAATTTTTTGGCCTTTGCGAGTGATTGGAGCATCTTTTTCATAGATAATTTGCATCATTATATTCCTGATACGATACTCTAACTTTTAGTCGGTTTAGTTTTTTTATGTTTGATATATTTTAAAGACTTAAAATTTCTAAAATAGAGTTGTAGGATTGAAGATTGTATAACTGGGGGAAAGACGTAGAGGTCTTTCTCCGAATTTGATTATTATGTGATGTGAGATTCTTTGTGTTTGCGGAGTTTGTAGAATATGCATTTGTGGAGTTATAAAGGGATGTGCTCTAGAATGACTTATGATTGTAATGTGTATGTTTTTTATGCATTGATTAATAAATTGTTACATAATACTAATGACGATACTTTTTCAGAAGATGATCATACCGATTATTAGTGATATACAATGTTATTTTATTTTTGATATTATTTTTTAGATGTTTACTTTTTCATTTGTAATATTTTAATTTTATATTTTGTAAATAATTTCTTATTTAAATATATAATTTTGTAGTTTTAGTTATGTTTATAAATTGTGATAATTAAGAACAGTAAGAAATAATTATGTTTATAAAAAAATGAAACAATTTTTAAAATATTTCATAAATGAATTACAGACGGATTTAAAAATTTGTCTGTAATTATTTACCGATGCGTATATACAGACGGACTGTAACTGTTTATAAATCCATCTGTAATGTTAAAATTTATCTGTAATAATAAAAAAAATTGTTTATAAATTTGTTTATATTTACAGATTTTCTAGTAGTGTGTTTTCTCATAATTTTGCTTAAAATGTTATTTTTAATTTAAAATATTATAAAATCTTAAAAAAAAATGAAATCATTCAAATTATGATAGTATATGTAAGTAGAAATAAAAATAAGTTAGATTATCTAACTGATAAAGGTATATGGTTTAATTTTTTAAAACTTATTTTAGCTAATTTGGTCTATTTAATTAATAGGTTTAATTTAAATTTTTTAAAATATTTAATTAATTATATAGATTAAGTTTAGACTTAAGATAAAGCTAATTAGAATAATTTATTTATATTCATAAATTTTATAATAATATATTAAATAAGTTTATATAAAAATTATAATATAATATTATATTAAATAAATTAAAATTTAAAATAAATAAAATTTTAAATTAAAAATTCTAATCCTTTTCATTAGATCCAAAGAGTGTTTCCACTATATGCTTTCTAAGAGAGATTGAGTCATAATTGCTATAGTCTTTTTTTTTTTGTTTGGTATGTATGCATATAAATGATTTGTATTTGCATTGTCTTGATTATGGCAGTTCATTTTATTTGTTATCTTTTTATGTACTTGTTTATATTATATGTAACTTTTTTTACTATTTTTTCCTTTTTTTCTCTATTTTTAAGTTAACAAAATATCTTTTCAATTTGATAGTAATAAAATAATTTTATATACTCCGCACTTGCACTTGTAAATGATTAATCATAATTGAATTTAATTAATAGCATATTTATAAGGAAGTTTAATGATATATTAAAAACTTCAATACAAAGGAAATTATTCAAAAAACTAACAGGCCAAAATAAATTTTTAAAAAAGCTAAACTAGTTTAAATAAAAAATTTATAACAAATAATAAGTCAAATTTATACTTTAAAATTATTAAATAGGTTAATCTTATTTATACAAAGTTTAATTCAGCCTAACTTATTTCTATCTTACAAGAACTTATCTAAGAAAAGTCTAAAGTTTATGAAATTCTCATAAATTGATGAAAAACAATAACATGAAACTGAATGGAATGTCATATATTTAAACACTTTTTATAATTTATTTTTACTATTTAAATCAAACCATCAGTAGTCTACAAATTATTAACATAGTTATGGAAAGGAACAGCCTCAAGCCTGTAGAATAGAATTGAAAAATTAAGATACAAATTAAATTATTATTAATTATATAGTGGACATGTAGAAATAGCAATTGGTAAGATATGGGTAAGATACTATAATATCTATTCCTATATCCACGTTTTAAAAAAAATACTGGTACTCAGCTCTATACTCGCATAGATAGTAATTTTAATTCTCATATCCTTACTCCTGGGTACTCACATACCCATACTGGCCTCTATTACCCGTGTTTGTTTAAGAAAAAAAAAAAGCTTATGAAAAAATATACTTATATAAATTTACATAAATAGCATAATAATACAAAAGTTTGACATGTAACTACCAAACAAAGTTCAAGCATAGATAGAAAATAAATATTCAAATATCACAAGTGCTAAGCGTAATACATCAACTTTCTAAATTAAAGTACTTAAAAATCATAAACAAAATTGCACACATAATCTTCAAGATCTTATAAAATAATCAACTCATAAATTTACTATACTATCATTCTCCAAGACCTAAAAACATTTTTATAAGCCAATGTAACAACAAACATGTGATAAGTAGAATCCCATCTTGTTTTGCAATCAATTACAAATTTTTTTGTAATAGAAACTTTGATTTGACGTGCTACTTCCCTAAAGATTTATTCTCTTTTAGGTGTAACTTTCCAAAAAGCAATACTACTCTTAACCTTCTCTGTGCCATCTCCAAGAATATTTAAACCATCTTGAGCAATTAAATTGAGAATATGTGCACAATACCTCATGCAAAACAATTGACCATTAAACATAAGAGAAGAACAATCAAGTTTATTTAGTAACAAACTAACAGGAGAATCATTTATACTACAACTATAGAGAGAACCTAAATAAATATATAAAGTATTAGCCTTAATTCCCTCCTATCAGAACTTTTGGGTTAAGATCTTCCTCACATAAGTAGCATAATTAATAATATATATATATATATATATGCAGGGACGAGGCGAGGTGGATACTTAGATACCCGCACCTATCCCCATTGAAATTTGCAAGTATTTCTCTATATTTATACCTATACTCGTACCCGTTTAACGGGTAAATACTCTACCCATTGAGAGTAAATTTTATAAATATTTACTGAGTACTTTCCTCGTTACTATCTCTACGAGCACATATCTTTCAAGTTTAAAGAGGTTGCATTAAACATTGATTTATTTTTACTTTTAACTAACAACAATAATTTAAAACCATGCATACACTTTACAAAAAGTAAAAAACAGATAAGAAGAAGTTACGTTCATACGCAATCATTTTTCTACGCATGCATCTATGTCGTAGGTTGAGAGCTTATTCAATTTAAAGGCAGACTGATAAGATAAACTTAAAAACTGAGGTGGCAGTGTAGATTCATATTTGAGTGTCTTGGAAGTTGAGAGCTTATTCAACTTTGCCATCTCCTTCTTCACATTGTGGAATTGTTTCTTCACTTTGTTGCAACATCGTTTGGAGCATTCTACAGCTGTCAACTTTCTGAAGATAGTGACTTCTCAACCTGTACATGGTTGCAAAAACAAAATTGTTCAAGCTTTTGTCCAGACAAATGACAGATTTGAACTCGGTATCAAATATATATGTATAAATTAGTCTTACAGACAACCATTATTATGTGTGCCAATAAAAAAGGTAATAACAACATGCTTTTTTTAACTTTCAAAATACGATTTTGTTAATACAAGTTTAAGGACATAACAAAAAAAAAATGTATAGTAATTTAAAAAGGTTATTAAATAAAGTCGTATATTCACTTATAATATATTGCAGAAAAGAGTACTGCTATGATCAATAACCATGAATTTGATTTACAATAATAAATGCCATCATAGGTAAAATCTTTTATGTTATCATACTTGACAAGAAAGGGACCAACTTTGTATATCATGGATCAACCAAGTGACTTTTCTCTTTCAAAGATTCATACCAGCATTTGTTTTCATTAGGGAAAATTCTTCCATTTCTCACATCGTTTGTTTCTGGCAGAAAATGTATAGCCTAGGAGCAAGAAATTTTTTTGTGAACAACATTGCTCCAGCAGGTTGCTTTCCATCAAAAGCTGTCCCCACACAAGGCCAAGAGGAAAATGTGTAGAGAAAATAAACAAGGCAATCATCTCCTACCATAGAAAGTTACCTGAAGCACTCCATGAGTTACAATCTAAGCTTAGGGTTTCACTTTTGTACATTCAGATCTCTATAAGTTCCTTATAGAACTAAGGGAAACTGCAGACAGTCATGGTGAGATACAAAGCCAAATGGTCAATCAAAAAGTGACTTAAAGCATTCTTTAATAACTACTTTTTTTTCTTTGCTGGGATTGTCCAAAAATGAAAACTTTGTCCCTATACAATTTATGTAATCTCATATGCCGTCCCCATACTATTCCTTGTTCATATAGAAACACTCATAAGTTAATTTGAACCATAACATTAAAAAATCAGTCCTTAAATACTATGGACATTGTTAATTTAATTCTAACATTTGACATAAAAACGTTACAACTGTGTAAAAGAAAATTTTTATAACTAACAAAAAATTATGATCCAAATTTATCTTAGAACTATACACGGACAATTTTGATCATTTGATAATTTTTATTCTACTCCACTAATCCAGTCGCTAAATCTGCTACTGTCTTGACATCAACTTCAAACACAAAATTGGATTTTTAGTTACAAACACAAATACGGATAGACCCATTAAGTATTAGGTTATAATCATGGTTCGAAATTTTTCTAACAGACAAAAACATAGTTGGTCCCATTGTAACTAGTATGCATGGCTAAATTAGGTAGAGGATGAAAAAAAGATTAAACATTTGACTGTGTTTGCATTTCCATGTTTGCTGTTTTCATTGCAGTGTTCTCCCTTCACGTGGCAATAATTCTTAAAGAACAGACAATTTCTTGATTCCGTAGATATTTGTTTGTTTACAAGCAAGTGAAATTTCTTACAGCCTTGTTCCATTTTGCCTCTTCTTTCTTGAGGGTAAGAATAAGGGGCCACCTCCAACATTTAGACATTAGTTTATATGTTATGCCTATCTAACTGTATGCTTAGTCGGCAATGTCGTATCCCACGTTCTATGTTTCTATTCTATATCAAAAAGCTTTTAAGAATTATTTTTTGTGTCAAATTATTTTGTTTTACACACGTATTTTTGTAAAATTTAATATTAATTTAAAATTTAAATTAACATTGTATATACCTTGCGAGTGTTAATTTTTAAACCAAAAAATTGCTTAAAACTTTTTTAAACAATTTCTTTTATAAATATTTTTAAAACAAAGCATTTTTTGTATTAGTTTTATTTTTTATTGTGACGAATAGTCTTTTACATTATGTATTTATTTTTAATTTTAATACTAATTTTAATTTTATTTATAATAATAGAATATTTATTAATAATAATTATACTATATTTTTTAAATTTTATAAAATTTAAAAGTAATTTTTAATTTTTTATTATTTATTAAAAATAGTTTAATATAACAATACTCATGCACACTCAATGCATAAAAAATATTGATTTTATTATAAAATTTAGTAAAATAAATACAAACATAGACAAAACCTCAAACAACTAAACTAATCTAAAAAGACACACTCCACAAGTATCATCCTCTCAATTTAACGTAAAAGCTGTAGTAAAATTTTTTATTTCTTGTTTTTATTGTACACAAACAAAGAAAAAACAGATTATTGTTGTGTTGAAAGATACTGCTAACAATCATTTTCCGTTATTACGCGTCCTAAGAATAACATGACATCAGTGCCGACATAACGGCCATTGGATAAATATATTTATTTTTTATGAATAAAAAATAAAAATATTAAAGCAATATATAAAAGCTTCAAAGATTTTCCTTTTAATTTTTTTAATATTTTATTTTGAGTTTTATCAACACTTAAAATATAAAAATAAAAAATATAATATCTTGTATAAATATTTTTATTTATAATTTATACATGAAATTATTACTGTATTTAATTTATTAAAGCTGATTTTTATTAATTTTTTAAATTTTTTTGACAAATATCCTAAAGTCATAAATATCCGATCTTGGAAAGTGTTTTGAGTTCAACTTGTACAGCTGTAATCTCAAGATCCAAATACCAGCCTGAGAGGCAACACCATTATAAAACCTGAAGCAATTGTTCAATAATCACAACCAAGCAGCAGAGGGATAACTAGTAAGTCCATCATAGTCCACTTAATTACATTTACAACACAGCTTCTCATACACTGAAAAAATAGTCTAAAAAATGAACACCCAATATCTCACCCTTTGTTTTGTGTTAACTTTGCTCTCACACTTGGCTTTAGCAATGACCTCAAAACTGATTCCAGCCATGTATGTTTTTGGTGATTCCCTTGTTGACAGTGGAAACAATAACCATCTTCCCATATTCAGTAGAGCAAAATATCTTCCTTATGGTATAGACTTCGGTGGCAAACCTACGGGTCGATGTACTAATGGAAAAACTGTGGTCGATTACCTTGGTAATATATATGATTCACTTTAAATACTTACAAGTTATTCTTTGTTCAATTAATTGAAATTCGTTTTGATACAATTTTATTCAATATTCCCTCAAATTAACTCATTCTTTTCAACGCAGCAATACATCTAGGACTACCCTTTGTCCCTCCCTATTTGGGTCTCTCAAAGCATCAAAGGAATAGAATCACCACAGGCATAAACTATGCATCTGCTGGTTCTGGCATTTTGCCTGAAACCAACAACGTAAATTGCTTCTTTGACATGTTTTGCCTTAAACAGACATTGAAAAGTAAGTCAAAAATTGTGTTGCTGGCATGTCTCTGAAGGAGGATCATTACAGACACAATTTTTGGCACACTAAAAATAAAATTTACGTAATTTTTAATAAATTTTAATTTGATAATTAAAAATACTCTTAACATGTCTCTTTATTGACATCTTGTAATGCAGAGGACTTCTTTGTCACTTGACGATCAAATAAAGTTCTTCAAGAAGACTGTTAAGCATAATTTGCCAAAGCAATACACTGAGAAACATCAATTGGAGAAGCATTTATCTGAATCCTTATTTTTTGTCTCTACCGGCGTGAATGATTACTTCCCAAATGGAACTTTCCGTGGCAACAGCAAACTTGCTTCACTCCTCTTAAATGATATATTCCTACGATTGCAGGTATGGACATAGAATTTATTCTTAGTTCTTTACTCTATGACCTCATTTCTTAATTAATTTTTGTCCTCGAGTGTAACTGGCTAACATATGCATTGCAAAAAGTTTCATATAATTGTAGCATGTATTTGTTTACATTCATCAATTTTACCCAATATATAATTACTTCAAACATGGGGACCCAGGTTTTAAATAAGGCTAAAAAAATGTAAATATAATCACATTTTCAAAAATTTAGAATTTATATCGCGATCACAATTGCCCCCACCATGTACCAAATTTATCAATAACTTTCTATGATGTCAACAATAGTAATTTTAAACCTTACTTGCTACTAGAATTTAAAGCCATTCAATGAACGAAATGTAAAACACAAAGGAAAATTTTATTTTCATACGTCATGCAACAAATGCAAATACATTTGTCTGTTGTGCTTTAGATGCCTTTCTGACAAATATTAATAGTATTAATTTTTAATGCATATAATAATAATAAATAGTATTTTATTTAAAATTATAATATTTAACATCATAAAATATAAAATATGTTAGATTATGTGTCTTTCGATATATATTCGAAAAACCGTTGTAAGATTAACTTAATAAGGTAAGTAAACAGGCGGTGGAAGCAACTTACTGTAAGGCACACTTAGAATTTCTTGCAAGTTAGAGTTTATCCAACTCAGCCATGGAATCTCCTTTGGAACATTGGAGAGTTGTTTGTGCACTTTATTGGCACCTAGTTTGAAACATTCTAGGGCTGTTAATTTCCTGAAACTTGCTGATTTTCCAACATGTACATGTATATATATACAAGCAAAAACAAAAATATCTAAGCTTTTGTCCAGAAAAAATGACAGATTCAACGTGGTTATGTATCAAAAGTTTTATAGGCAACCCATGTTATATTTGTACAAAAGAAATCTCAATGATATACTTTCTTTGGTCTTTGAAACACTGTTTACTGTTAAATGAATTATTACATTTACATCTTACAAAATACCATGGAAAGATGTTATTTAATAAAACTTACTGACAGTATATTGAATAATATAAACGCTGCTAACAATTTTTTTTATTTTAACTAATCACCATGAATTTGATTTAGAGTGTATAATAAGAATAATTTGAAATTTTCCTATTTCGTATGTATATAAATATTTTTAATTATTAAATAAAAATTTATTAAATATTTTTTTTATATTTATGAGATACTAAATATATTTTTCTAATTTAATATGTATTTTATAAAATAAATAGAAAATTATTAAAAAGATGTATAAAAAATAGACAAAATTCATCTAAAATGTTAAATCTGTGATATATTTTATATCATTAAACTAAAAATACCAGGTAGAAAATAATTTTTTTAAAAATATTATATATATATATATATATATATTTATATATAATTTTTATTATATTTTAAATTTTTTTCATTTTATTAAGCAAAATTTTTGCGCCACTAATTGATTTGACCCATTATGTTGTCATACATAACAAGAAATCCCATTGACTTCATGCAGCATTGGGTTCCACCTGGTTTTTCGCTTTCAAAGATTCATACTTGCATCAACTATTAACGACCCCGAAAGACAAAAAAAATAACTTCTTCGTACTAAATTATAGAAGGCTACTTTAAGATCAAACAATTTTATAGAATTGAGTAAGATTATATCTGTGAAAATATTTATTATATTAAGAATAATAATGAACTCCATATTTTAAACTGCTCAGATTACAATTTTTTTAGTACTCTTGAAGCTAGCGTGGGTTAGTAAGATCCTTTATGTCATGTACTTAACAAGAAAGGGACATTAATTTCTCTGTCCTTAATCACCCAGTTACTTGTGATTTTTCTTTGAGAGATTCATACTAGCATTCATCTTGTGTTTCTGGCAGAGAATGTATAGCCTAGGAGCAAGAAGATTTTTCATAAACAACATTCCACCAGCAGGTTGCTTTCCATCAAAAGCTGTTCACACAAGGCCGAGAGGAATATGTGTAGAGAAATTTAACAGGGCAATCACCTCTTACAACAGAAGGTTACCTCAAATACTCCATGAGCTGCAGTCCAAGCTTCCAGGCTTCACCTTTATACATTCAGATCTCAATAGGTTCCTTATAGAACTAAGGAAAACGGCAGAGAATTATGGTAAGAAAAGTGCCAAATGGTTACTCAAACAGTGACTTAAAAGCTTGTGTTATAGCATATTTAGTTTAATAGTTACTTTCCTTCCTTTGCAGGCATAGTGGAAACATGGAAACCTTGCTGCCCCAATACCATTTATGGTGATCTCATATGTGGTCCTAATGTTATTCCTTGTCCAAATAGAAACACTCATCTTTTCTTTGATGATCACCCTTCTCAGATCTCAAATCAGATTTATACAATTCGTTGCTTGAATGAGGCAACCATTTGCAAGCCTTCAGGCCTCAAATTGTTCTAGCATTCCTAGTTTGTAATGTATACATTTTTGTAATAAATTGCATGCTAAAAGTTTAAGTTAAAGTAACTTAACTATCCATTTGTTGCTTTTAATTCAAGTACTTGTTATGATAGTCGTAAACTTGTAAAGTATTTTATATCTTTTTAAATTAACTGCTATTATTTTTTTAATATCTTAAAAAAAACTAATATATTTTTTTTAACTAAATCATTAATTTTACTATTTATTTACATAAAATTAAGAGTACAAGAAAGGTTACTAAATCCTCTCAATTATTACATGACACCGTAGATTTATTTTTAAACCCTCTAAATTGTACATCATACCGTAGATTTTACTTTTAATATAATTGATCAACAATGACACCAAAAGTGCAAAGTTAATCTGATAAAATTGCCAATGAAGCGTCAAGTATTGAGCATAGTTTATGTGAGGCTTCTAAATTAAAATACTTCACCATGGCGTCAATTAGAAAATAGAATCTCAAGTTTATTAGTGTAATGTTGAGAAACCAGACTAGCCAAAACCAACACTTTTGGCTTAACGTCTTAGACCCTCACCTCACGGGTCAATGCATCTCACAGAATATCTAAAAAAAGCGGAATATGATTAAATTTCATCTTCTCTCTCTTGTTTTTTTCATTTACTATATTAGAAATGCTGGATGATTATTTGGGAGCATGTCCCCACAGAATAGTTGGTGGTGGTTGACTAGGACGAAGACGAAGATCAACATCTGAAGATTGTGAATATTAAATTAGACAGTACAGTGGTGTATGATTGTGAATGTGAAGATGATGAAGCAAGTCGAAAAAAAGCAAGAGGTTGAGTCAACAATGTCGAAAGCTCATATCCTGGTATTTCCATATCCAGCACAGGGCCACATTCTTGCACTTCTTGACCTCACTCACCACTTAGCCATGGGAGGCTTAACTATAACAATCATAATCACTCCAAAAAACCTTCCAATTTTGACCCCTCTCTTATCCACCCACTCAAACAAAATCCAAACCCTAATTCTCCCTTTCCCTTCCCACCCAAACATCCCCTCGGGTGCAGAAAACGTCCGTGAGGTCGGCAACACCGGAAACTACCCTTTCATTAACGCCCTCTCCAACCTCAAACCTTCAATAATCCAATGGTTCATCACCCACCCTAACCCCCCCGTGGCTCTCGTCTCCGATTTCTTCCTCGGCTGGACTCACCAACTCGCCACTCAACTCGGCATCCCCAGACTCGCCTTTTACGGCTGCGGCGCGTTCTTTTCAACCGTCATCACGCGCTGCTGGCAGAATCCACACTTTATCCACTCACATGGACTCGTCGACTTCCCCGGAATCCCCGGAACGCCGTCGTTTAAGCGGGAGCACCTTCCCTCCGTGTTCCTTCGCTACAGGGAATCAGAACCGGACTCTGAGCTCGTGAGGGAGAGCTTTATTTCCAACGCCGCCTGCTGGGGCGTTGTCTTCAACACGTTCCGCGCGTTGGAGGGTCCTTCCTTGGATCACATTCGGACCCAATCGGGCCACCCGAGGGTTTTCGCCGTTGGCCCATTGGGCTCTAATCGAGTAGATGCAGACGCAAGTAAAGGATCCCAAGTTTTGCGTTGGCTCGACGGGTTCGAGGAGGAAGGTTCCGTGCTTTACGTGTGCTTCGGAAGTCAGAAGCTGTTAAAGAAGGAACAGATGGAGGCTTTGGCGTTCGGGTTGGAGAGATCCGAAACCCGATTCGTTTGGGTCGTGAAGACGCCGTCAACTGAAGAGCTCAAGAAAGAAGGTTACGGGTTGGTTCCTGACGGGTTTGAGAATCGGGTTTCGGATCGGGGCTTGGTTGTTACAGGTTGGGTTCCTCAGGTGGAGATTTTGGGTCACCGGGTCGTGGGCGGGTTTCTGAGTCACTGTGGGTGGAACTCGGTGATGGAAGCAATGGTGGCTGGGGTTGCGATTGTAGGGTGGCCCATGGAGGCTGATCAATTTTTGAATGCGAGGTTGTTGGTGGAGGATAGAGGAGTGGCGGTGAGAGTGTGTGAAGGGGCGGATTCTCTGCCCGACCCGGATGAGTTGGGCCGGGTCGTGTCTGTGGTTATGGGTGTGGATAGTCCTCAAAAGAGAAAAGCAAAGTTAATGAGAGAGGAAGCTTTTAGGGCTGTGAGTGAGGGTGGGGATTCTTGCATGGACGTGGATGAGCTTGTGACAGCATTGCTGAAGCTTGGTGTTAAAGATGGACGTTGATTATCATCGGGTAAGTGGTTCAATAACAATGTTACTGCGTGCATGTAATATTTTTTAACAAACTTGATGATAAGAACATGTTAGAAAATAATTAATCTTAAGAAATAATAATTCTATGCTTTTGAAAAGTTTTTTTTAAATAAAAATATTAGTTCTAAATTACATTCAATGATTGTACCTATATCGATTTTAAAGAAAAACAATCCAAAATAATGCTTGAAGTTTGGTTTAAATTGGGCTAAAAATAATATCAAATCAAAATTAATTCGGACTGAAATTTTGTAATTTAGATTTTGCCTTATTATTTTTATTAAGGGACAACTTAAATTTTATAGTTAATAAATAAGTAAATTTTTATTAGAGTATGAATAGAGTCTCAATACATAAATTTTTATAGTTGCTAATTTTTATTCAAGAGACTATTACTAAATAAAAAGTCAAAATATATAATAAATATGAAAAAATGGTTAATAATTATTGAATCCGATCATAAATCACAACTTAATCTAAATTATAAATCTTAAATCAAATTATTATAATAACATAAAAGTGAAAAGTGAGTTTATTGATCATGAACAAATCTTTAAATTCAGTTTGATAGTAGGGATTAACAGAATGTGGAAATTAACTAATTTAACTAATGTTACATTTCTTAACAAATTAGTATAAAATATACAAACTCCCTCAAGATGATGCCTAGCTTGGATACAATAAAATTAAAGACAGATGAATGTAAAGCTTTGGTGTGAATATCTGCAAGTTGTGCAACAGAGGGGATTGGAAGTAATGAAGAAAACCTTGCTGCAGTTATTTTAAAAAGCTAAATGATAATCGATTTTTGTGTTTTGTTCTCTCATGGAATGCTAGGCTTTGTGTAATTTGGAGAGGGTTGTTTTAGATCCATGAGTTAATAAATAGGCTACCCATTATTGGATTTCCCATGTCTCTGAGTATGAGATTTTTCGTTTTAAGTTGTGTTGAACGATTGACGTCTCTCTTGTGAAGTAGAACAACAAACTGGTTTGGATTGAACAGTAACAGCAACTAGATCAGATAGCAAACTACATTCAGTAATTTGTTTCTGGTAAAGTGACGTTATCATCGTTTTTTTCTTACTTTTTGCAATCTCCAAGGTTGAAGATTAAAGGGTGTCTAGATTATCAGAAATTTACTTCCCACCGTTGATGTGTTTTGAGTTCATGTCTGATCGTTAAAATTATAAACATGGAGCGTCGATGCTCCTTTTCGCATTATGAATTATTTTGTTCTATGGAGAAAATTAAATCAATAAAAATGTTTGGTCACCATTGTTACTATGTCATCACCACTAGCAGTGTGGATCAATTTTTTAAATTTAAATCCCAACCTAACCTCATCGATGACCATGACTATTTATAATTAGAAGTACAAAATGAATTAAAATTCAACTTAAAAATTATAATTTTATACTATAATTCTTTATTTAGCATAACTTAAACTTAGGAATATGATTCTAAACCAATTTTAGTAATTAAAATTGAAATTATAATTTATAATTACAATTTCAATTTAATGTGTCAAGTGCACTAAGATAATAGCTACAGTCATTCAGAAAAATATCACCAATATGCTCTCAATCACTTGTCACACATCTCTTATTATTGCGTCAAATTCATGTAATTCTCACTAAATGATATGATGCCGCTCCCACCAATTGAATATCATTTATTATTTAAACATACATGGATGACTTTCGTTCAATGATGGAAATTGTATTTGAAAGAAAGTATTTCTATCTTTCCTCTTCAATCTTTCATTTGCGAAGGCATAGAGGGAAATTCACCAATTTGTGCCAGACTTTTGCCAAAGGGACAAGTCTCAAACATTGTCACCTACTAGTCTCTTGTAGCCATTACTATTGCTGACATATGCGTGGTTAGACATCTATCTCCATGGATTTCATTATATGTTTACTGAGGAAAGATACCCTATTAATGGTGACAGATTCATTTATGAAATGCTCATTTTTTACCTCTTAACGCATCCATTTATTGCCAAAGATTTGTCATCTTCCTTAAGGTGCTAATTCATCTGCATGGATTTCCAGCCTCATTGTTTTGGATAGAGACAATCTTCCTCCGTAACTTCTAGACCGACTTGTTTAATTGCTAGAATCATGCTCGAGTTCAACTCAGCTTAATTATCTTCCACAATCAAATGATCAATTGAAGCGGTGAATTTTGTTACAAATTCCATTCATCGTAACTTTGGGAAGTTACTCTTTTTAAAGCTTTGAATGGATAAGATTCCTGATTCCACTTGCTCAAATTGTATTGCGTCAATTCAAAATATATTCACAATATATTGAATTAATTCATGTAAATCCCTAATTGTAAACTACTTGAGAATGTCCTGATAAAATGTGCATAATATAAACTAAAAAGTTGCAAAACGAATTCCAAAATGTCAAACGGTTAGTCCTCATTTCATCCACCAAGCTATTTCAAACAACCCTAATAGTTGTTTTAACTAAAATGATCGAATGACTGATATGAAAAAAGGATGGCATATCTCCGTCTATGTTGGCCACATGTATATGTCAGACTAAAAGGCTTATGAGTAAGAGTTAAGAATGAAATCGACCCATTACACCTTGCACTGAGACAAACACCACAACTACTGTGAGTGGTTTGTCTTTTGATTAGGAGTTCACCTCTCCCGGGTAAGATTTGGGGTAACAAAGATAACCCATTTGAAATTATTAATTTCTTAAGCAACGCTGAATTAGAGTTGATGATGTTCTTTTATGGAATATATTGTGCCATTATGATGGTTTCATTATCAATTGAGCCAACTTTTCTAATACTATTCTGTCTCATAATTAAGGTTTGGTTGTATACTAAACAAATTACTCATCCATTCATGATTATAAGATTTTTTAATGGTCTTTTTTTAGAAAACAAAAATTTGGCAACATCAATTTCTTAACTGGAAATATATGTAATCGTATTTATGACACTGGCAATAAACTAATCGTATATATGGATAGTTAAACTAAATGGATTGTTGACTATAAAATCATGGTAACCCCTGTCTTAATCTACTTATAATTGAGAGTAATGTTGATAAATGCATTCGGCAAGTAGAACAATTCAAACGATTTGGTAAGTGGGGTTTTTCAGTAATTTTATTTTATTTCTTTTCTTTTAATTTTGCATTAGAAAATATATATTGTAAATAAATTGATTCTAGATGTTGCCAAACATAGAAGTATCCTTTAATTTCATAAAAATATGTTCCCCATCATATTTAGGCTTTAAATATTTCTTAAAATCTAAGAAGCCTTTCCATTTAATAAACTTGAAACTCACATTTCACCAACTAACTTAAGAATTGCTCCTACTTGCCATCCATTTCCTTTTGAATATCCTTCTTTTATCATTCCCATTTATAACATTAGACTTTTCCCCAATTTCCTTAGTATGCCTATGTAAGAAGGCATGCTATGGAGAAGAGAACAAGTGTCCAAGAGTCTAGAAAATTGAACCAAATATTTTTCCCCAAGTACCTCAATAAAGTATACCCAATTAGGCTACAGAGAAGCTCTTCAACTTCATCATTATCTTCATTGTCATCATCGTTGTCACAAAATTCAGATGAATCTTCCCTCACAGATTCTTGGAATCTAGAGGATGAAAATATTTCATTACCACTGCATTTGATTTCGCCACGTCGAAGAAGAGAACGTGCAGTTACTAATACTGCACAGCAACAACAAAGTGCACACACTGCTGAGCCTGGTGAATTGAAAAGGTGCAATTGGATCACAAAGAACTGTGGTATGTTCAACTTCTTTTCATGTATATTCATTTTCTTTTACTTTGCATTGAAACAATGAATCTTGCTAAGTTTGACAAAGAATGAGTCAGTAACAATAAAAATAAGGACAACATGGTACCTATTATCATTACAATATTTTCATTTAAAAATTTAAATTTGCTGCTTTACATAAGTCTTATGCTAATAAAGCCAACATTTCTTAGCTCAACATACTCCAAGCTGTGCATCATTTGACTTTTAATGATATTTTCACCAAGAGAAATTAGAATAAGAATTGATACAAAAGACTTGTGCAGATAAGGCATACATAGAATTTCATGATGTGTGTTGGGGGGTCCCAGCTTACGATGACAAGTAAGTAATATCTCTATGTTACAACTTTTTTGTTAACCTTGAAACAGAAACACTAGTATTTAGATATATATGCGCAATACCCATAAGCATGATCCAATTCCCTTGCTTGATTCATGAAACAGAAAATTGTTCGAGTTGCTTATACTGTCTGGATTGCTGATAGATTACAACTGGACAGAAATTCTGAAAAGAAAGGAAATTCTTAGGTAACACTGCATGAAGAAAAATTCCAGTTGTACGCTTGTTGCTTTATTTCTGACAACATTAATATATTAAAATAAGGTTATGCTTGACACAGACATGTTTTTGCCGGATTTGATCCTAATGCTGTTGCCAAAATGGAGGAGAAGGAAGTCATGGAGATAGCATCAAACAAAGAAGTTTTGTTACCCAATTGCAGAGTTAGATGCATAGTAGATAATGCCAAATGCATAATGAAGGCAAGTATATGATCAATCAATTCCTATCCAAAATTTTAGCTATTAAGCTTTCCATGACTTGACATTCCTAGTTAAGTTAATTGTTGATTGATTTTGGCCCACAGATTGTGAGGGAATGTGGATCATTCAGTAGCTATATATGGAGTTATGTAAATCACAAACCAGTGATAAACAGATACAGATACCCAAGAGATGTTCCACTAAGGACTCCAAAAGCAGATACCATCAGCAAGGACTTGATAAAGCGTGGATTTCAATTTTTGGGTCCAGTGATAGTTTATTCTTTTATGCAAGCTGCAGGATTGACCATTGACCATCTCGTGCATTGTTATAGGCACAATGAATGTGTAAGGCTAGCAGAAAGACCTTGGAGACATTTATAAATACACCAATTTACATGCATAAATTTTGGTTTATGTAGGAACAGATACTCACTATTCAGTTTTCCATACATGTTACTTTATTGAGTTTTTCATTTTTATTTTTTTGAGTATTTGGGGTTATTTTTATGGTTTTACTTCCACTTGTTTCCATCTTGTGTTATCATGATCAAGTCATGCTTTGCCATTATCAATGGATTTCAATTTGAGTGATGATCAAAGTCAGCCTTGAGGTCTTCTTTGTGATGTTAACACAACATGTTTGGTACGGCATGTGCATGAGACCAATTATCTTGAGAATGGAAATGTTGTTGATGTTACTCTTCTCTTGTTATCTCTAAATTTTCTTGTACCATTTGTTACTGTATTTTTCGAATCATGATGATATAAAGGGTCACAGTAGCACAAAATGCCTATCCTCAGTGATGCAAGGATATTTTGAATTGGCAACATACCCGTTTCGTACCCGAATATGATACTTGATACTCGTATTATTATACACCTGTCCTAGTTTTAAAGCTTAATTGTTTTACTTTCAAATATCTTAATATACTTTCTTTTTTATTGAATAAAAAGGAAAGGTTATCATAACTTAAATACAATATTTTATAAAATTTAATTATTTCAAGATTTTTAAATAAATTTTTCAAGAAGTTAAAGATCAATATGATACGATGATAATGATGATAACAAACTAATATAAAGAAATTTATTAACTATATGAAACAATTAAAGAAATTAATATAAAAATTAATAAAATATAAATAATTAAATAATAATAATTGCATTTACTTGATATACTTTGCGTACCCGTATCTTAAATTTTAAAAAAATATATAATACCGACATATCGAAACGTATTATTATATTTGATATTTGTATTTGTGTCCATGCAACATAGCCAATTCTGCAGGTTTGAAATTTGTTATATCTTAATTAAAATATTAAAGATTAAACTTTATTTGAAAGTATAGAAAAAATGAAATGAAAACATTTGAAGGATACAAGAAAGAAGAAAAATAAAAAAACAAAAAAGTTAATTAACATATTTTTAATTTAAACAAATTTAAAAATATAAGTTTATAAGAAATTTTAAAAGGTTTATAGATATTCTTTTTCACAGTTAAAAATTATTGAAATATGAATTTTCATTCAATAAATTTTTTCTTTTTATTTTTCTCTAAAATTAACAAAGCCCGAAAAAATGTATTTTAAAAAATATGTTTACTATAATACTCATAAATTTAAAAAAAATATTATATATCTTTTTTGAATTGATAAAAGAATCTAATTCTTCTGATATCTTAAATATTAAAAATTAATTGGAACAATGTAACCTTTATAACATATTCAAACTTGATACACTAAAATTTGTTCAACTTTCCATTTAAAGAATTATTTACGAAGGAGTGTCATGATCCACGATGAACAAGCTTGGCTGTGATGAACAATTGAGATCATCCTTCTCACTGCAAAGGTGAGAATATCATACAACATTAAGTAGAATCCACATGAAAAACTTCAATAACAACTCTCCCTCCCCTTAAAAATAAGGGAATAAACATTAACAAGTGTGTTTTTGTTGTTGGTTTCAGCACCGGGCCTTTGGGCTTTATTTTTACTTTTCGGCCTTTGTGCCTTTTCATGACAACAAAAAATTAAAAAGAATATGAGATATTATAAATACATTTCCTTACTAATGTTCTTTGCATAATCCAAAAAGTAATAATAGCCTTTGTGTTATTATATCTAACAAATATAATGAATTATAATAAGATTATCGTATTCTTAGTTACAACAAAGTAAATTTTCAATATCGTTATAATTTTATTAATCAATAATATTATTCCAAAGGAGAGCATAAATTCTTTTCGTTTATTAGGGTTTTGGGTGGATTTACGATACAAGAAGCTTCCCTGATTTTTCTTTCTATGTAGTAAGATTGGACACAAGGAATAGGGTTGCCCATTATCATTTCAGGCAAGACAATTTTTCTACTATTAAAAATAGAGATCTAGGTTTGTGGTTGAGAGAACAATGCAATATGAAAATATCACTGTGAAAATATGACAATTTATCTGATGATATCCCATAATTGTAAGAAATAATGTTTTAGAAATTTGATTACAATATATGAGAGAGAGATATGAGTCAAGAATAAAGAATTTCCATTTTTGAAGAATTCAAATTTGGCGTGAAACATGAATACATGATCATGATTCATGAGAAGTTCCCATGTCAAAGACTTGTGAAAAGCAAGCATTTAGTTCTGCTTGACCCACCTGTTCTTAGTTTCTAGTTCATAGGTCCTACACCTATCATATATATTATTCTTCTCCGTGATTCACATCAAAAACTGCATCTTATCTTAGGTCTTAACTTACCCTAACTCATTACACTTCTACCTTCCCCCATTTTCACCCATAACCAGACACATATATAAATCACTCTTTGATATATACCTTGCTTTGATTCATAAATTTTAAGTATAAAGTCTCCCTTTAAGGTATCAAGTGCTTTGACAGTTCAAAAGTTTTTTCAAATAAATATCTTGAATTGTTAAGTTTTCACATATTTAAAGCTCATAAATGTAAACCGTTACATATCACCTAAATATTAACTGCTCAAATCAAACAATTATGCCATCAAAAATTGTTAAATTTTTTTAAAAAATTACATTTTTTTCTTTGATTTAATTTATATGCTATTTAAATTTTTTTAGTTAATTAAGTCTATATACTTAAAAATCTAAATTATTAATTTTGTCCAGATACTTAAAGGCTTTCTGATAAATTTATTGTATGAAATAATTTTAAACATTTAAAAGCAAAAATTTTAGTAAAATTTTGACAAAATTTGAGAACTTCTTTCTAAATATTATGTTAGGTTTGAAATAAAATTTTAATTGTTTTATATGTTTACTAAAATTTTGATGTTTGAATGGGCATCTTTTTTTAAAAAAATGAAGTTTAAAACAATTAAACTATTTTATTTTATTAAGATTTTGAAAGGAAAAAAAAAAAACTTGAATGCTTTCAGTAGAAAAAAATTGCCAAAAAACTGTATATATACTAAATTAAAGATATTAAAAATACAATTAAGTAAAGAATAATGATAAAGAAAACAATCACCAAACCTTTGCTATCATTTTGCTTAAAGATGCTAATTAAGGGGACAATGAGACAAGTCCCAGTTCCACTCTTCCTCTTGTCTTTTCCCCCTCTCAGGTGTATCATTATATCTTGCAATGCAAACCATTAAATGCTTCACATTGGGAGACCCTCAAAGGTCAAGCAACAAGACAAGTGAAAATAAAAAATTATAAAAACTAAAACATAGCCATGTAGATTAGGATGCCCCTTCATAAAGTCCCTCTCAAGTAATTATTATTAATTATTTTTTGTTTTTTATTTTTACTTCTAAACGAGTACATAATATAAATTCAGACTTAATTAAAATTTAATATGTTATTAATATTAAATATTACAATTTAAAATAAATTTTATTTTTTCTTGTATATTTTTAAGTATTCATTAAAAAATTATTTTTTACATGAAATAATTTTATAGAAAAATGTGTACTAATAAAAGAGAAGACCTAAAAATATTTCTATTATAAATGAGATATGTTTTTATGGTGCAGGTATATAAAAGGATAAACGAAAAATTATATAATATAACATATGATGTTTACTTTTAACGATTCAAATGATAAAATTTATAATTTTACATTTTCATCTTTAAATAGAAAATTGATTAAGATCGAGTAGTCCTTTTTTTTTATGAAAGATATAATTATTTTAACTTTGGTCAGTATATTTAATATCGCTTATATATTAATTTTGAATAAGAAAACGTAATTATACCTCATTTTAGTTTTTAAAATAAAAAAATTATATTTAGTCATTTTTTATTGTTCATATTATACGTCATAAAAAAATTTGGTAAAGTTGAAGACCCTATTCTTTTAAGGTGACTTAGATTTTTTGTATTAAGTTACTTCTGTTAATTGTTTAAGTTAACAAAGAGTATTTTAACTCGGCAACATTATTACTATACATATATCCTAAAATTAAATAACAATACTTCTCGGGCCAAAATATATTTTAGTAATTATTAAGATACGTATGACACTCTTGAGTTGAATCTGTATTAATTAAATATAACATTTAATAGAAGCCACTTAACGGCAAAAATTTAAAATATTTACTATAATTAAAAGTTTATTTATTTTTTAATTGTTATATAAAAAAAGCTCTGATGTTGTTATAACTTTAATAAATAGTAAAAATTAATCTATAAAGTTTTTTTTAATCGAGAGATCAAAATATAATTTTTTATATAAAAATTAAAATTCATGAAGAAAAATTTAGTCGTGCAAATAACATTTTTCATTTATTATTTTTTAATCTAATGTACTTTTAAATATTTTGAAATGAATCAGAATCTAAAATAAAATAATCAGATTCCTAATTATTTCGAAAAATGTTTTGAATAGCTACTCAAAAATTATAACTTTTAAATTTTTTTAGTAACTGTAACTAAAGAAATATAATTCTTATAGAATCTCTAAATTTTAAATCGCTTTTTTTTATATATTCTCTGTTTTTTTTTTTCAGAAAGAAAAATTGACTTATATACAACTTTTAAAAAAAAAAGTTAAAACTAATGGGCCTTTATCTCTTAATACCTCCTTAACTAATATTTCATGCAGAAATTGAAGACTAAGTTATGGCCCTTAATGGCAACCATGATTAAACTTGGTAGATTATGTAAGAAGAAAAATCCTATCAAACCCACAGGAAAAGTTGTTGGAAATTAGATTATCAAGTGATCAAGAATTTCACCAAATCTCTATGTTTATCTAGCTGACTCGGAACACAAAATTTTTGACAACGACATACTAAATTGCCCCATGAGATAGTATAGCACACCGTTTCAAGCAGCCTTTTCAAACAACTTGAGATCCTTGTCTCATACTTGTAGAATCACCTTACCCTTCATACTTTATAGGATATGCTATGTTACAGCTAAACCATTTTTTAATCATTTTTCACTACACTTTTACAATGTATAGATAATGTCATTTTAGTATGATTATAGTGAAAGGGAAAGAAGAGAAAAGATCAGTTATTCTCCCCTTTTCTTGTAGACAAAAGAGGATTGAAGTGACAATAAATCGCATTAGCAACTAATTGAAACCTAATAAGAAAATTGAGCCCCTCGACATAATGAAAGGCCAAATATTCTGGTCCAATGGTTAGTGGGACCATTTCGTGTGAAGTTCTTTTGTTGGTTGCTACTCTCTGTGTAGCTTCTGTTCCAGCATCGGCAACCTTTGTTTTGTAGCACTTCAGCTCTGCTGGGTAGTTAATCTTAACAATCGTGACATAAAGATAACACTCGTGTCCATTTCGAACTACGCTATAAATAAGTAACATATCGAAAGGAAAATTTGCTTTTTTCTTGTCTTGCTTGCACCATAAAGAACTAAAACGTTCAAATCGTTGCGACGCCAGAAAAATAATTCAGAAAATCGATGAAAGCCACTTTTTCAGAAAAGAGACCGACTTGAACTCGCTGTTAATTAAGATCGCTAATCCGTTAAGTGCATTATCTAAAAACACTTATTATAAATTGAATAATCTTTCATCTCAGTATTGTTTGAAAATAAGTTTATATTTCTAAAATCACGTTGAATTCAAAGAAGTTTTATAACATTTGAGATAAATTATAATTTTCACATTAAGTTAAAAATATATACTAAATTTTACTACAATTTTTAATAAAAAATTAAAACAAAAATATTAATTTAAACTTATTTTAAAATAAAACTAACGCATGCTTAAGCTAATTAATAAAATTGCGTTAGACAAGTTCGTCCTTAAGTTTTATACCTATGATTGATATCAGAATTTTATGAGTTCCCTTTTTGGTCAAATTTCATTTTGTGAGTTATCTAATACTTGATACTTACATCATAAACTTAAAAAAAGTCTGGCCGGTTTAGCAGGACTTGGAAGTAGCATGTCACAAGGCAACAAAAAGATCCCCGGTTTTGATTTAGTTGATTCCTTTACGCCCACCACTCAATGTGACTTTATCAGGGAAAACAAGTGTCACCAACATGCTCAAAGATAAGGAAGTGACTAAATACATCAATCTTTTGAAATTTCATACACAAGTTATCTAGAAATGATGATTTCTTAACCTGTATCAAATAGCTCACTATAAAGTGAAAACATTTTACTTTGAATCAATTATTGGATATTGAACCATTGCACAATGTATGTAGACAGACAACAAATAAAGTTATCCTACACAAAGTTGTTTGTTTTACCACAAAGTTTGGGGTAAACAAAATTATCGTTGTCACTGTAAATCAATTTACTCTAGAGTGAAAAAAAAATAATTTAACAGTAAGTAAAATTAACTTAAGGAAAAACACAAAAAAATAACTTTCAAGATAAATAAAATTAATTTCCTAATATGAGATTCCCCGGATTATACTTCAGAGCACTTTGTCTAATGAACAAAATATTTACCATATTAATCCTTGAATGCACCCTTTTTTAACACCATTTCTTTCATCATCAAGTCTTTCGAAATTATTTCTATCGAAACCAAGACCAATTAAACCTTACAAATTTTCGAAAACTCAAAACCTCAGAATAATGAAGATATCTTTCCCGCCTCGCCACGCACGCACCAGCCATTAAACAATCCTAACGAGTAGATAAACAATCCCAACAAGAATAGCTACTTTTTTAATATACTCGACTAAGATTTATTAAATTAGAAATACGATTCACATAATTTATAATAATTTTTAATCAATAATAAAAAAAATTAAAATTGTCCTAGTGCTGTCCTATCTCTCCTAACAATCCTCCCAAGTATCAGAGTGCAGAAAGTTAAAGCAATAACTTGAACTACCATTGCAGCCAGAGAGCTACGAGGTTAACCAGAAACAAACATATATGCAGGAACCAAATCAAGGGGGGAAAAAAAAAGAAAGATAGAGGACAGAAGTCATTTCATTATATACAGATATTTCATTTCACAATTTTATCCTACAAAGATAAGAGGAAGGGGCAAAGAAGAAATGAAATCATAAAAAATGAAAATACAAACAACTAACCGGCTCACCACTTAGCTGACGCCAAGCATATTTACAGCAGGTTTTTCCTATCCTCTCTTCCAACCAAAGCACTCTCATTCAAACCTCATAAACCAGAACTAACTTATCCTTTCATTCCCTCAAACCTATAAAGCCTTATTCTTCTCCATCCTATACTCCTCTCTACCATACCACATATTGCTCAACCTCAAAACTGGCACGAAGTACCAAGCCTCTGTCTCTGACCTAAGGTTATGGATTTCCTCTTGGCAAATGCCGGATACAGCAGCTCTTGAAACTTCTGCAGAAACAATGTCCATTCATCCTCACTCATATCTGCAAGCTTGACAAAGCTTATGCTTGCAGGAAGCTGCTCATTCGCACTCTTATGACCAGATGATGAATTTGCAGAATGCCCATTATCCACTATTCCTCCAGAATATTTCTGGTTTTTCCCATCTAACATGGTATTTTTCAGTGACACGGAAAGTTCTGAAACATTTGGGATTTTTTCTTGAGCTGAAGAAGTAACAAATCCCTGAGGAGATTCTCCATCACTATCCTCCTCCTCTCCCTCCTCAATGCACTCATCCAATTTGGAAAGCGGATTGCGGGCATGCCCATTTCCAAGTGCAGGCTGAAAAGGTGATCTAGCAAGAGGGTCATCCATCACCACCTTTGGCGTGAAATATGATCCAAATTCGTCGCAATCCATGTCAAACTGAAACTCATCATCCCTTAACTCAGTCCTTGGAGACAGTTCCTCCTTCTCTGCCACCATCTTCCTCGCCTCCAAACAAACAACCTCAAGTTCACTCGGTTCCTCCTCACCTCTCCTGAACTCCCTCGTCATCATCTCACCAATTTCAGAGAGACAAAGACCAAAAGCAGCAGCCTCCTTGAGGAAAATGGTGCAGAGAACCAAGACTCTAAGACATGCCTCTCGAATCATAGGTAGTTCCATTCTCAGCATATCACAATCACGATAAGGATCAAGATTAGCAATGTAGGCAAGCTCCTCCTCTGAAAACGGAATCGAAGCCTGGGGCCAATGGATCCACTCAAAGTAAGGATCCTCCAAAGTTTCAGGCAGGCAGAGTCCATGATCAATGGGAATCAACTCCACATGCCCAAAACTCCAAAATTTCCTAACTAGCAAGTTCCCACCATGCCTATCGGTGTTAAGAATCCTAATGTCTAGTATCCCTATTCGATGCACCGAAGCAACTGGGAAGCTAGATGTCCCGTGATCACTTGCATCAAATTCATGAGGAATGAACTGCTGGAAAGACGCAATCTTGCTAACCGGCCTTCCCCTCCGCATATTGTTACCATTGACACCATCATTAACATTGAACACCGAGTGAGTAACCTTCACCAACGCCGTTGGTGGCACATTGGCAAAATGATCATAATCAAGGAGATACGCCGCAACCTCCCTAAACCCAGTCTCCCCTACCCGAACGGATCGCTTCAGCCCTGGTTGTCCCAATGCTTTCCCAACAAAACCTTTCGGGTTATTCGGGGCAAAAGGCTCCTCATCCGTGGGTTTCACAATTGCAACACTTTCCCCCTTAGTATTCATAAAATAATAAGCCCCTCCAAGCCCACTATGCACAGGAATTGGATCAATCCCCATCTTAATCGCCTTCATAGTCTCCTTAACAATGGGCTTTATCTTATCAAGGCGGTTGGATTGCCCCAATGTCTCAATAGGACCACTCTTATCCCTCTGCTGGATGTCCCTTCCGGAGGGCGAAAGACACGGCGTGGAGGAGCTTCTATGAAGGAGATTCCTATTCCTAGTAAGCAAAAGAGGGGAATCATTACGAACAGCACTAAGGTCATTCTCCAAAACAATATCCCCAAAAGTTAACGAACTCTCTTCAGTTGGAACATTGAGAGCAAGCTGCAACCTCCTCTTAACAGTGTGTGCATTGTCACCACGATCCAATTCCATACCAAACACACATCCCTTCTCAGTTTGCACAAACACACGTCTTCTCCCAGCGGGTTGCCTCCCATGATACTCTCTCCCAAGAGGACTACTCCTTATCACTCCCACAGCCATTTGAGTCTGCACAGGACTGTCTAGTTTCCGAGACATTAACAGAACAACCACGCAACAAGGCAACAGCGGAAGAAAGCACCTTCTTCTTCCCTCCCAAGTAGTTGCCCAACCTTAGAGCCAATGCCTTACACCCCCAACGATCATTAATTTGTTAGAACAAGCCAACCAACCATGTAAACTCAATATCTGCAAAAATATGAACCCTCTGTTGAATTCAACACGAGTAATAATAATTCACTTTCAGATACAAGTTCAAATGCATGCATCACACGAAAAAAAAAATTGACTTGATTCAATCGAGATTGAAAAAAACTGTAACTGTTAAGTGAACAATGAATGAGGATTTTGAGGGGAGGAAAACCGGAAGAACTTGATTATTTAAAAATAAGAACGGAAGGAATGGAAATACCCCCAATAAAATGGAATGAAATTGAACAGCGCCGATTGAGCTCGAGCTTTGGATTCGAACTCGCTGTAATCAATGCGAGATCTGAACAAGCACGAGCAAATGAAACCAACCGAAACAGAACAGCAAACCCGCAAAAGCTGATTCGGTCGGAAAATGAAAAAATGAGGATTATGTTGAGGAAGAGGACCGACTCCGAGGACGGAACCGTACGATGAGGCAACTCGTCCGAGTTGACTCGGAAGGGTTTTTTCTCTTGTCCAAGCAACGACGCACAAAGGTTTGAACCCTCTCTCTCTCTATATATCTTTGTATCTTCCTCTTTCCTTTTGAGTTTTTTTTTTTTCTTATTTTCCTCTCTTTACTTTGTGTTTCTCGCTCTCGCTCTCGCTCTCGTTCACGCTAGGAACGTTCTTGCTAAAGCCCGATGCGTGGAGCCCGGTTAAGAAACTAACCCTGGTTAAAACTTGACCACTTTCTCTCTCTGTGTATGCTTAGCGAGTGGAAGACTCTAGAACCGGGATTCAGGACCGTTGGATCCTACTGGGCGATTAACTACACGTGTGATGGGAGGGTGACGTGGAGATAAGGGACTGGACGCTGATGTGGCACTGAGGAGTCACCGTCATGCGAGTAGTGTTAGCGAATGAGGGAGGGGCTTTTGCAATTTTGTGCGGTGATTTTGCATCGTCCATTCTCCCATACACACACGCGTTTTTCACTCGTGTGCTTGTTCATGCCAATTATAATAATAATACGAATTAAAAGAAATAAATTAAATCAATGAATAATAAAAAAATATATAGATAAATGAATTATTTTTTATTCTAAAATAATTTTTTCTTATAATTTATATTTATTAAAATAAATAAATATTAATTTAAATCTAAAAATTAAAGATGAACAATTAAAAGTAATAAATTTTTATTAAAACAATATTTATTATTTTAAGAATATAATAAATATTATATTTTTTGTATAAATTTATTTTTTCATATGCTTAAAATCAATATTAAAGTTGTGATTAATAAAAGAAAAAATTAATTACTAACACCATACTAGTTAAGAAACATAATTTTCTATAAAAAAAATTAAATTTGAATCGTATGACTAAAAAATAAATTGACTTAATTTAACTTCAATTGGTTTAAAATTAGTGCAATTTTTAGATAGTTAATTTTTTAAAAATAATATAAAATGATTTAATTTTCTGAATATATTCTCAAACTGAAAGTAAGAAACGAAAAAGGATTTAATTTAATTTTTCAAATATCAAAGTAATCACTTTACATTATTTAAAAGTAAACATTTTAAAACACCTTACATTATAAGAGCTAACTTGAAGTTATAGTAAAACTAAAATAGTTTAACGAAAAATAAAAAATATCTCTCTCCCTGAGGGTCTTACCGTAAGATCATGGGTCCCTTTAGAAAATTGGACGGGTCGGATTGAATCATAGGATTTTCATCTAGATCCTGTGTTAATTTTAATTTTTACTGATTCTTGACTCGTGTCTACATCATGACAAATTTTCAGAGCATTTGGTGTTACTATAAATTTTGGTAAAAGAAATTAGATCGTACGATCGGAACGGCAATAACAGCCACATGAACAAGATCAGACGGTTCATTTGAAGGGAGTCACCGTCAAGCATACTGTAATGTGGTCTGCAGCAGATGAGAATTGCTTCTCAGCATTGACTCACTCCTGAACGTGTTGCGATGATAATATCGAACACAAAAATGCCTCACATATTAATTATTACTTAAGTTTTTATTTAAAATTATTTAATAATGTCCAAAAGAAAATAAATACATAATAAAGAACTGAATCTAACTTTAGCCCCACTTGGGTTTCTTTATTTAATTTTTGGGCAAGGCGGCTATGTTCCCCATTTATGAGAACTTGAATAAGAAGATGCAGGTTCAGCTAGTGGCACCCACCCTACCCTTTCTCTGTCGCATTTTGAGGTGCTAAGGGTATGAATTGACTCAACTGCGCCCTGATCAAAATCATGTGTGCTGGAAAGGAAGTAACAACTAACAAGTGAAAGTGGACGCTGCAATTTTGGATTTCTGCATAATTTTGCATTGCGCATTAAATATCACGTCATTTTATATGGAAAGATGAAATTGAGAAAATAAAAAATTAAAAACGGAGTGAGTGAGTAATAGAAAACATTCTCAAATAAGAGAGTCATCGACTATATAAAAAGAAAAAATTTTAAGTAGGTTTTATTTTATATATCAAATCTGGACATCTTTTATTTATGTCAGCATTTAATAATACGGACATATATAGTAAAAATTGTCCTCATATTAATACGTTTTGCCAATTGTAAGCGTGATATATTAAGAATTTGTCTATTTTAAAGAAGAAAAATACAGTTTAAGAATATAAATCATAATTGCTAATTAAAAATTAGTATCTAATTATAACATTATTTATATAATCCGAAATAATTAAAGTTCATTTATAACTGTATACATCTGGCTAAATGTATATCTTTAAAAAGAAAAAGGGTAAATATGCAGGTGACCTTGGATGCACACAACGTGTTTGATGTTAGGATAACCACAAGCGGATGACATTGGGAACTCGGTAGCGAATAGCGATATCCACTTTCACTTTTTCTTTAGAAAAAAATTAAGTTTATTTTTCCTTTTTGTACAGAGAAATGGGAGGGTAAAAGAAGGGGAAAAGGGAAAAGCGCAAAAATCAGTTAAAACAAGAGTCTACGGTTGCACTTTGTTGAACCACGAGTTCCCTTTATCCCTTTGTAACCCATGCAACTTGTCATGAAGGGGCCTATAAGGTACATTTGTAAAGTTTAAAAGAAAAATCACATATAACGCCGAATTGTTAGAAATAACATTTAGAAACATCTTAGATATATTAAATTGAAAAGGGTAACTTTGCCGCTATATATATTAAGAATCTAATTTTAATATAATTCAGTGTACACGTAAATTAAAAAAAAAAAGGGAGTCAAAGTTCACCATTCTCTCTTTACACCCATCCCTGATTGTTGTATTTGATACATAACAATAGAAAGACAGTTTATTTTGAAAATAATAATGTCTAAACAACATTTACCTTGGGATTGTTGTTTTGCAATTAATTCAAATATAATTTATATCTCGTAATTTTCCAAAATGGAAATCCCTAAATCAACTCGATTTAAGGGTGCATTTTAATCGAAAATTTGACAGATATAATATGTCTGTGTGCTGTTAATTATAAGAGAAAATCAAACCTATATTTAGATTAGTATAACTATTTATGTATGAGCAACAACTAAATAAATCAATATATAATGTGTTCAAATAAACTTGTATATAAAATTTAGTAGTCGTTGTTTCTTACATCCAGATTCATTGGACGGAAATATCATACAAACATGGGCAGAAAAAAATAATGAAAAACGTATCTTAATTTGAGGTAATATGTATCTATATAAACTAAGAGTTATAACTTTTTCTGAACACTGTTTTAATTTCCAACCCTAATTATGAATGAATGTGTATCTGGGAATTCAAATGTTGCATCACCAGCAAGTATGATTGCATATGAAAAAGCATAACACATGGAGGGACCGAAATGTTAATAGATATTGATCAAGCTGGTCATGACCATGATCTTTTTTGTTGATGAACTTTGTTAGGTACGCCCATTTGTCAACACTTTTGATATAACAGAAGTGAATGTATATCCATTGCCACATATTTGGCCATGGAGATTAGGGTTAGTTAGTGCAATATCACTGTCTATGAATAATTCTTACCCATTAAAATATATAAAGTGTTGCCAAGAATTATTAGTTTTCGCAGGTTTCCTCATCTAATGTATATGCACGCAGCAAATGTTGTGTTTCAAATAATAAACAAATGCTAGCAAGTTTGCTTCAGTTTTTAGAGAAATTTCGAAATTTATTAGAAAACTGAAAAAAAAAAGCTATTATTTCTAAACAGTAAATTGAACATAAGTAAAATGTTTTTATAATAAATTAAAGGTTTAAATACACGAGAGTGCATATTAATAATAAATATTAATTACTCAAAAAATTACATTTAGGATTTTCTAAAAATGTATTGCTAAAAAATTAGAAAGAATGATATACTTAATCTATCTATATCGTAGTAAAAAATGATATAAGAAGAATTGATACTTTTTTACTTGACAAATAATTTTAATTTAATAGAAATATATTATTAAATTCTTCAATTATTTTTAAAATTATTTAAATATAAACTTTTCTATTATACAACTAAATACATAACTATTAAAAATATAATTCCAATAAAATTTTAGAAAATAATTTTTTTATTTTTTAAGTATATAAATCTAGATAGAGAAAAATGATCAAAAATAAAAAATAAAATAAAATCATAAATTTAATAAGTAACAAAAAAATCAAGAGATAATTTTAGTAATTGAAGTAAAAGATAAAAATATATAATAAATAATAACCTTAAAAATTTAAAATGCACTAATAATATAATTAAAAATCATGTCAATTATTGGCAAGTAATAAAATAAAAATTAACAAACAAAAATTTAGAATACACATGATAAAATTACTTGAACAATTGATTTAGACATAATTAAATTCAATTTGATGTATTCTTTGAATTGTTTTATTTTAGAGCAATGATTATATTTTTAATTTTCTAAACAAGTTATAAAAAGTATAATTATTTCTCCAAAGTCGAAATGACACTAACCTAAAATTTATAAGTACTTAAGAAAAATCCTAAAGAAACCTCATAAGACCAGAAGTAATATCAGGCAGCCATAGACAAAGTTGCCATCACTACCCGCAGTTTGTTTATATAACACGGAGAATCATAATAGAAAAAGGAGGAAAGAGTAGTGCACGTGGCAAGACGTGGAAGCTTTATCCACTCGTAAGGTTATTAAAAGAATAAACATGTCAAAGAATACAGAGGTAGTACTCGTACAATACATAGGATAAATAAAAAAGGGGTAAAAGAATACTATAAAGAAGTGAAAACGTTATAATAATAAGATAACAGTGGAAGAAGAAAACAAAAAGATTCAAGTTTGGATAACAGGGGGATTGGGATGGGCATGGGCATGGCAGAAATTAGTGCGTTGCGTGAATGGATACACTGTATCTGTGAGAATGGCCAACCAAGGAACCGGAATCTACTCCAATCACATTCTCTACTGTTTGTGCGCAGCACTGCACAAACTCACTCCTTCATCACTCATTGCCCTTATGTCCTTACCCACTTCCATGTGCAAATCCCAATATATAAATAACCATTTCAAAAATATTCATTTGTATCAAAGTTTACAATGTCATTCTTCAGAAAGTAACGTTATTTTCATGTTTAGCATACATTTTTAAAATTAATTTTCAGATTTTTATTTACTTTTAAGAAATCAGTATCATCAAATTATGTTTAA